ATGTTCATGAAAAGGTTGTGCCAGTGCGTTAACCATGGTTTCGTTTTCGGGGTCGACATCAAGAGCAGCAGGCAAGAGTCACTTCTCTTAAAGTCAGGAGGATATGGCTTCAAGCAGTGGCGGACCGCAGATCAAGTCTTGTTTGAGGTTGAGCAGCTTGCTCCCCTGAAGGTTAAAGTTTCCAGCGCAGCTCTGGAAAAGCAGTGTTGGATAGGTTCTTCACGTTTGCTCCACTGTCTTGCATAAATTTCCATGATGCGCTCGTGCTCGATAACTTGGTTGAATGGTCCTTTGTGCTGAAGTTTCGCGCTCTGCTCCAGGCCAATGTGGACATGCGCATGCTGGGCGAGTCTGCCACAGGCATCTGGTCCCCCCTTCCCCTCGTATTAACCCATTGTAATCGCCCAAAGGGTGAATCTGTCCCTGCCACTGCGGATTCCCGTCGGTTTCGGCGCCTTTTGTGGAAACTCAGACGAAAATCAGAGGAAACCCATAGGAAACCCAGAGGAAACCCATAGGAAACTCACAGGAAACCCATGGGAAACCGGGTTTCCCATGTTTCGCATGGGTTTCCTCGTTCCCAGCAATTTCCGTGCCCGCGGAGGAGGTTTTTGTATGTTCCCTATCGGTCTTCTGTGGGTTTCTGGGTTTCGTGCACGTCGCCTGCGGCCTCCCTTTGTTTCGGCCGTCCTTGTCTACCAGATGACTCTGTCCGCACCACTGGTCTTCCCACCGTTTCCATGCCCGCGCGTCGGGTTTCGTAAGTTTCTATTGCGCGCACTGCTGTCCACTGCACATAAGCCCAGCGTATTTTCGTGGCTGTGCATGCTGTTCCCTTACTCTGCATCTCGCTGAGGTGGTCATGGCACCGAAACGTGCTCGTGCCCAGGCGGAGAAGGTGGCTTTCGATTTGTCTGCTATGCTGCAACGCGGCAGGTTCTGGCCCAGGAACTCGACGACCTGAAGCGCCGTCGCGTGCAGATGCGGGCAGACAATCGTGCCTTGGCGCAGCAGGAGAAGAACCTCAAGAAGCGTCGGGCTCGTCTTATGCAGGCTTGTTTGGCGCGCAGCACTTCTAGTCTCTGCAGTCCTGGCAAAACGCATCTTTTGCAGGCGGCGCGTCAGCTCAGTGACGATGACTTTCTCGTCTTGTTGCGTCAGCCGCCAGGCGACCCTGCTCTAGAGTCACGTGCTCGCGGCGGTCACGTAAGCCGCACAGAAAGCAGGCAATCCCCATGCAGCTGAAGGTGCCACGCCGGGGTCTGTGCCCTGGTCAGGTGGTGCATGTGCCGAGGTGTCCCTCACGTGGTCGTTGCTGCTCCTTTGGAGCACGTGGAAGGCGCGAGAAAGGCGGGGACGCGTTGGTGCCCGGGCCCCGCCGTGGCCGCTCCTGTGGATCGTCCTGAAGGCGGCAAGCTGTTAGCCATCTCTACGGTGGTCCTGCTCCTCTGGCTTCTTCGTGTTGTCTGCAAAAGACTCATGCCTGCTCGCAGGTGATGCTGGAGATGTTCCGGCTGAGGAGGGCCGTGCGCGCCCCAAAACGAGTGGCCGGTCTCGTGTGCGCCTGCCTTGGACGCTTCTCCGTCCGAGTGCAAGCGATATATCAAGTGAGGTGATCGAGTCGGACGTGGCCGTGGAGATTGCTGCAGGCGAGGCGGCAGGCCTCAAGCAGTGCCGCAGAGGTGCGCCTGCGTTCTTGTCTCCTGCCTGCGGCCACATCCTGGGGACGGTGACCGTGCGCGTGGGTCAGGCGTGCCTTTGCGCGCGGGCAGCAGTCGTGTGTTTGTGAGTCGTGCGCAGCGATCTCCAGCTCCGAGTGAGAACGCGCGCTGCGCGCGCATGGTGGCAAAGACGGGGTCATTTCAGGGGCTGCAAGAGCAGGCGAATGTGTGGCCGTCTTGGCAGGCCCTGTGTGGTAATTTCTGTCCAATGGCTAGTTAAGGCGGTGGAGATTGCAGATACCACGCAAAGCATGGAGACGAACAAGAGCACACAGACGGTTATTGCTGAGACAGGCCTCTTTAGTTATGCCTCTCGGCAATCTTATTTTAGATGCGGCTTCCAGAAGAACAGGTAGGTGTGGTTTTGATCACAAGACAACTGAAAATCATTGAATGCGTCAGAAGTCCTTGATTCTAGTGTTTGGAAGTCGAACATGCAGGCATCAACATCATGTCTTAAAGCTGTCCACCACGCCGACTGTGTCTAAGAAGCAGAATTCCCAAAAGGTGATTTTTGCAAAGAACATATAAGAGGTTGTAAAGGGAAATAATCACGTATTATTGGAACCCCATGAAGAATGCAGGACAAGATGCAAACCACTATTCGTGTTGAGCGTTCAAGAAAACGTGACGTCAGTTCAAATAGACCGGAGTTTCAAAAACCGGGTAAAAGCAGTCTTGGACAGGTTGTATTTTGAGCCTCTCTAACACTGGACAGAAAGTAAAGTCATTGCAAAATGGACTTGCGCGGCACCTGCCTTCTGAATGGACTTGTAAAGACTTACGTGGACAGGCGTGGATCCGCCAAGATCGTCCCGTGGACCCGCGAGGCTCAAAAACGCGACCCGTCCAAGACAGCTTTTACCCGGGACCGATTATGCTTCCTAAGAAGTAAGTGGAGCACAGCTCCGCCAAAACCCGCCTTTGCGGGAACTTCGTTTGGGTTGGTTGATGGCAGAGACTTTCAGATCATTTATAATGCGAACTTTATTGTTTTTTGCCTTGCCTGAGAAAGAATCTGGGGAACGGGTGCGTGGCTCTCAGCGCTTCCGTTCTCAGAACACACTGAGTAGGCTTAGGCAAGCAGAAGGTTGATCTTTTTCGAAATGGTCTTGCTTTTGGTTCTGACTTCCACGTTTGAATAGTTGAGAATCTTAAGGCCTTTTCTTTCTCTGTCTATCTGTCCGCGAGCTCTCCTCTGCTCACACGTAGGCCAGCTTTTGTTCTAGGATTTCCTACTTGACGCGTAGGCTGCTTCCAAGCGCAGGCAAGTCTGTCCGCCTCTTTGAACAAACATTTGAGGAACAACGCCGGTTGGCCAGCGAGGCCTTGCGCAACATTACGCCGGTCCGGGTATACTCCATCCTCAGCCAAACGCAGCACGTTCTGGCCGACATGCCCACTTGGTCAGTCGACTTGTGGCAACCGCGTGTCTTCTCCCACGGGTGAGATTGGCCGATGCATATGTGAGAGAGGTGTGGCGCGCGTCCAGCGTGGATCCCTTGCAGCTTAAAGAAGTCATG